GGGGGCCCCCCCCCCCACACACACGCGGTGTCAGCAGCCCCCCGGATGACGACACCCGCCGCGTCCTGCAGGAGCAACTGGCCAGTGGTGGCGCAGCGGGGCAGACGGAGGGGCGCCGAGTGCTACAGCCGGACGTGCAGGCTGCTAGCGGAGGTAGCAGCCGCCAAGGAGGTAGCAGCAGCTGTGACGATCAGGACCGCCGTGCAGACGCCGCAGCGGCGGCGACAGCTGGACCGCTGGGTGAGTGTGTGCCATTAGTGCCAGTGCTACGCCGTGCCCATGACGCCATCAGTTGTCTCTTCTGGATGGTCCTCTCTCGCGTATCATCAGCTGCCTCCTGCTTCGCAAATCACGCAGGCAGAAGTTTAGCTTGGTCAATTTATATATATATATATATATATATATATATTGACCAAGCTAAACCTTCTATATATATATATATATTTAAATATATATAATATATATATATATATTTAAATATATATATATATTTAATATGTATAATATATATATATATATATAATATGTATATGTATATGTATGTATATATATGTATATATAATTATAATATGTATAATTTTGCGATTGCCATCATGGAAGCTCACCCATGGTATTAGGGCGGGTCCGACATAAGCAGCAGCAGGTGAGCGGTGGGGACACAGCATGACTGTTGGTCGGTGCCTATCTGCCTTTCAATTTCGGCCGTGATGAGGGTTTTCCTTCTTCTTCGTCCTCTGAATCGTCAGCACGGCTTGTGCTTTGTCAGGTTCTATCCTCACGTTCCTAATTTTCCGGTATAGTTCGCTCGCTGGTGCTGGTGGTTAGGGTTTAGGGCCACTACTTCCGTACACATACCGCTGGGTATGGGTATGGTCTTGACTCACCGGTCACCGCCACTGCTCTCTTAACGTTTCTTTTCGGAATCATTTTCGCCGTGCTGGAACCTTTAGCATAGCTTCGTTGCTGCAACCTTTTAGGTTCGCAAGCATGACTTTTGCAAGCACACACTCAAGCAGAGGTAATCCGAGGGCTTACCGGTGTCCTCTATCACAGCTTAACTCTTCACGCCTCCACACTGGTACCCTACATGATCGTGGTGTGATTGTGGGACCCATCCGGTCCACTTGCTTTTGGGCCGCACTCGCTGCAACAGGTGGTCGGATGGTGGCCCCAGCTGAGGCACCTTCCCAGGGAGAGGACCTGCCACCCGGCCACGACGGCAGCGGCTCAACCCTCAAGTCCCCCGCCGACCAGGCAGATGCTTGAATGATATGTAAAAGGGTATGCCGCATCATTCTAGCGTCATGTCTATTTTGCTGTCTTCCTTTGTGTTTTATCCTGTATGTCTGTTTGTGGATCCGTATTCGGTTTTGGTGCCCAGGGGCCGCACACATCAACACCGTCACCAAACCAACGCCGGCGCCCATCTCTGCCGCCGCTACCACTATTGATCCTGGTGTGCAGGAGACTTGAAATACATAGAGCCTGCGTGTGTGCACACGACGGCATGTGTACACGTGTGATTGTGCACGACGGAAGCACGACGGGATGTCCGAGGTAGTGGGAATCGATCCGAGAGTCAAGCTGTGGTATGGCGTGGCGCGTGTCTGGACGTTAGCCAAGGGTAACAAGGTTGGCGGCGTGTGGGAAGATGTGCTTTCATTACGTACCAACATCGTTCTCCGGGGGAAACACAGGCTACAGGTTTCTGAAACTTCATATTCATGGCCCCAACATTACCACAAGCGAATGGAATTGTGAGGACATCAAGCAAACCTGTGCGTTAGGTAACTACCTAATTAACTAACTAGGGAGGGGAACGAACGACAACGAACGGGGACGTCATCATGACTCATGGTGGTGTGTAGCGGCCCATTTACATGGGCAGGAACCCCAGCAATGACGCCATGGGGGTATTGTGCGGGGCCAGCTCCAGTTCCAGGAGAATCTCTCGGAATAGCCACGGACGTGTACGGCAGATACCCTCAGTGTTTCAGTTACCTGCCCGCTATTGCACCTGCAGAACGGCACTAGGGCCGTCAAGGCCTTGGACGTTTGACAGCGAGGCGCCGGGAATTTGGACGGATGTGCCAGGCGCCGTAAGGTGTTGTTGTTCGAACTATGGACAGATGTTAGTCTGATCATATCAAGTCTGCCCAATGTTCGCGTAGTCGTGTATGTATGTATGTGTACATATACGTCGACAGTGCTCTCGTACATACTACTAGCGTGCCTTGCCATGCACGTGCACATATGTGCCGCGTTCCGATGTGCTTGTTACGTCGGTGATCGAATGTTGCTGCTGTTGCTGCTGTTGCTGCTGTTGCTGCTGTTGCCACATGCACAGTGGGCGGGGTTATGGGTGCAATTGGGAGTGGATAAAGCTGTGTGTATAATACTGTATCAACACAAAGAAGTAGGTGTAGTTGGGAATGGAGAGTATAGTTCATACATTTCTGTTAGATGCATACTTTTTCCATATGGTTAGTTCCATGCAGATAGTTGTGGGTGAACGGCGAATATCTGGTAAATGTGGGCCCATACCTTCATTTGAACCGGGCACCTATGTCCACGGTATCATCTATCTACGAAAGAGTTCTGAGCAGCAAGGTACCGTTATCATCATGATCATCAGCGAGACCGGTCTGGAGATGGAACCCTAAGGATGAAAGATGTACGTAGAGCGACTTATCTCCCTTCCCCTTCACTCCCTCTTCTCCTCGTTGTCCCGACGGCGTGCATCTCAATGCGCGTCTAAAATTTGATCACTGATTCCTCATTTATTAGTAGTTCATCGACACTTAGTTCACTTTGCCGCGGGTCAAGGACCGCCACTTAAAACACATTTAAAAAACCGCGCTCAGGATACGAGGACAGCCCCATCAGCCTCATCCCGATGCGGCACTGAAGAAGTTGGCATTGGCGGCGCCACTTGCAAGGCCTTGCATCCTCGCCAGTCGGGCAGCGACCCCAAGCCCCTGCGGCTCCCCGTCGCCATCCATGTCTTCGTCTTGCCAAGATTGCTGCATGAACAGCCCACCGACGTTGCTGCTGCCGTCTGCATGGGGCCGCCTCAGGGCCGCGATGACCTGGTCCCGGGCGGTGGTGGCGGACCGAAGTAGGGCGGCCGCGTTCTCCCGGTTTCCCAGCTGCGGCGGCCGAGTGCGAATGGAAAAGGGAGGGGCCAGGGAAGGTTCGGAGGGAAGTCAGGCGGGCGAGGCAGCTCGCCCTGTTAAAGGGAATGGAGAGGTGTCAGGAGAGGATATCCAAGTGCGAGGTGAGCGGTGAGAAATGTGGAGATAGATTAGTGGGATTGATGCGGGTGGTGAGGTCGGCGCCCCGCTGGTGAGATGCCTGCCGTGGAAACCAGCAACCCAAGTTCCAAATACGGACTGCACACCATATCGTCCTGTATGTATGTATGCACAGTACGAGGACCCCAAACCTGCCAGTTCGTTTAGGTACGGGTGAAGGACCCCAGGCGAGTGGACCCCAGGCGAGTGGAACCCAACAGAGGACAGGAGATGGGAAAGAGTCAGGCACGAATGTTAACCAACCGTTTTTCATGTCGCGGCTTCACCCTCGAGTATGTACGGTCATCCTTTTCCTCACCAATCCTTGTTCATCTTTCCTTGCTGCTACGTATCTGTGTTGCCGTTGCTGAAACAGATTTTGCTTACCGCTTGTGCCAGGCTTAGTACTCGATCCATGGCGGCTTGCAGGTTGCCGCTCGTGCCCAGAGACGCCTGCGACCCGGTCAGTCAGTCGGCGGACCAGGGGCAGCGGACGAGGGTGCGGTGCTTCGGCGAGGGTGTGTACGAGAGTGGTTTCGGGGCAGGGTGAACATCATGGAGGCAGCAGGGTGCGTGGACACAGTACCTCAATGGGGCGTCGGAGATCATCTACGAACTGGGTATGACGATGGAGTGGATGTGTGTAGGGGTTTTATTCATTACAGCAAGGTGGATTGGGGGGTAGCTGGAGTGTGATGTCGGGAGTGTGCGGTAGTCCTTTGTGATGTTGGGCTTGGGTAATGTGTCGTTGCCGTGAAGCTTACCTCGAATGAGAAGGAAGGTGTGATGGTGAAGCGGTTACGCTCGTCGTTGGCGTACGTGAAGAGGATGTCGTTGAGGGCATTGTAGAAGGACCTGTGTTGGGTATGCGAGGAGTTAGGGGTTTAGGGTTCTGCGGTATCTGCGCAGGAGCGGTGCGTGCGTGTGCCGTATCCCATGACATTCAACTAAATGAAGATGTGAGGGGGGGGGCCCGTGGGGAAGAGGCAAGCTGTAACCCAGCCTTTCGTTCCTAGCCAAGCGGGGACGTCACCAGGCAATAGAAATCTATATTCTTGTAGAAGTGCTCACTATATGATAAATGTAATGATAATGTATATATATATTATAATTTATAAATTTATATCATATACATTAACCGCAAATAGTTGGGGACTAGTTAGGGTGTATTTCCAGTGCGGATTAAGGCCAGGGATTAGGGCACGGAAGCCCTTGGTACGAGCTTAGCACATAGTTTCGTTCCATAAGGGAACCAGAAAGGTTGAAAAGGCGAGGTAAGTTTGCCAACAACTTAGCCGTTTGAGCAACTATCGATGGAGGGCAGAGGGTTAATCCCTGGCCTTA